TTTGTCTCTGGATAGTTAGTATGTTGGGTTGGCTCATCATAGGGGTCTAAAGATGTTGAAAATGATTTGCCAGTAATTGAGTTGTCTTCTACAAGGTCGTTCGCCGTTTCAAGCTCGGTTCTCACAGCTGTGCAGGATTTCATAGTCTGCCCTGTACATTGGGTCTGACCGTCATATAAATGATCCTCCGCGTAAAATATATACAGACTTACACTTTACAATAAATAAAATTATAAATAAAAAATATATAGTTTATATTTAAAAATTTTTTTATATAAGTTTTTTATCGGATTTGTAAGAACTTTATACAATAGTTACATAACTTTATAGAACTACATAAAATTTATAAAAAAAAATTTGTTGATGCAAGAGATCTACTTAGTTAACATATAATTAATATCAAATATACAAAAGAATATATATATAGTTAGAGTTGCTTGCTACAGAGTAGGGACTTTGTATTTTTTATACTTATTTGCATTATAATATTATTAGATATGTCATATATATTAAATTGTAATATAAGTTACAACCCTAATTGTGCTACAAAAAAGTTGTAACATTTGCAGCAAGCAACACAATATATAGCACACTTATACATTCACCCAAACTGATCTAATTCAGTTGAATTAGTTAATATGTCTTTTGTCAAGTCCAACAGCTTGTGTTTGCTTCTAGTTCGTGTAGACAGCTTATTCACAGATGAAGAATTAGTCACTGATGAAGACTTAGTCACTGATGAAGGTCTAATTGCCGAAGGAAGTTTGGTCACTAACAGAGGCTTAGTTACAGATAAAGCATTAGCTACTAATGAAGGGTTAGTTACAGATAGAGTATTAGCTACTAATAAAGGGTTAGTTTGAGATAGTTTAATTGCAGGTAATCTTTTGTTTTCAACTTTGCTATTAAATCTTGCTGCTATGGTCTTAGCAAAGCTAACAGTTTTAATTAACTCATTAGAAATATCAGGTTTCCAGAGAATCTTTGAAGAGCTATCTATACTCATCAGCACTTTCTGATAACCAGAAAAGGTCATACTCTTAACATGTATGTAATTTTTATCATCATACACAATGAATTCACTGTTAATATAGAGAAGTAGATTTTTTTTATAGCCAGAATAATGTGAACTAAATGGGGCACAGATGTTGGATAATGACAAATAATTTCAGTATCATTTTGATCCTGATCCATATAGTCAGTCATTAAGACTATTATAAATGCATCTTCACTATCAGCATTTGGTATTTCTTATACTGTCACAGTCATATTAAGTAAAGCAGGAAATTTAGAAAGACCAGATCTAAATCAAAATGTACAAGGTTACTTAAAATGATCTATATACATATTTGCACATTCATAATCAATACAAAAAAAAATATATATAATTAGTTAGTATAATTACATATATATTGTGGATACTGTAATGTATGCATAGTTTAAAATATACGAGAAATAAACAACACAGCATTATTTTTAAGATAAATATTTATAATCACATATGATATCTAATACATGTGATTTTCAAGAAAAACTTGCATTATAGGAGTTAGCATGGATATATCACATTTACTAATTTTTCCCCTTGATTGAGATTATTTACATCAATTTACACATACTTTTTATTTAAAACAGAATACCTCAATCAGGGTTTGATGTTAGTATTATCGAGCAATATTATAATAAATTCTGAAATAAATTTTTTTTATCAGTGCACCAAAGGTGATTCCTTAGCTGAATTTTTAAGACAAACGCTACTTTACAAAAAAGAGGAGTCATTGCTTTGATTGTCACATTACACTAATCTTGCACTCTGATTGGTCGAAATTAACACTGGAGAAAATTAGTAAACATGAACACACCATGCTACATATAGTATCATATAATTTAAATCATCAAATAGATCAAAATCATACTTTAAAATTATATATCACTTAATGAACATGACAAACAACATATTTAACATACACCTTGAATCCTTCTACTATAACTTTAACAATGTATACAACTTCTCATTCTATTTATTAATTAAAGAAGACTACAGCATTGCATATGTTTATCCTGGATCTGAACATAACTTTGCACAGCGTGGTTATTTTACAACACCAGTTGAAAGTTATAAATACTTTCCCTTCATTCCTCTCTCTACCTCCGACATAACCTCCA